GAATGGGGGCAGAGGGTGTGGGAGAGAGGGAGAATCTCAAGCAGACTCCTCACTGAGCATGGAGCCCAATGTGGGGCTTGATCTCACAACCCTGAGATCATGACCGGAGCCAAAATCAAGAGGTGTATGCTTAACTGAGCCACCCAGGCACCCCTCTTGTTGATGTTGCTCTAGTTAACTAGAGGAAGTCCAAGACCAGAGGAACAATTGTTGGCAGAAAATGCGGAGTGCAGACCAGTACTGCTCTTAGATGTACTATCAGATTCTAAAATAATAAAGTTTAATGTAAAACTCAGTTAAATTACTCAAATTGCCCATGAAGTACTGTGTATGCCATTCTGGAGAGTAACATTGTCCAAAGTAAATACAGACCACATTCCAGCCACACAAAAGGACAGAACACAAGTCAAGTCATTGTACCAATGCCTGGTCCTTCAAGTATCTGTGCCTCAAAGAAAACCAGTAAATGTCAAAAGAGAGAGAAATGGCTAGAGAATTCTTATGTAGATCTATTTACTTGCAGTTTACTATTAAGCTATTGCCTTAATGTTAATTGACACTTTCTGGTTGTGAGAATTAAAATAAATGATAAAAAGAAATAAGAAAAATAAAATAAGTAATAAATAGAACATATAATTCATTTCTATATTTATTATAGATTATATTTAACATATATAATAACATATTTATTAACTACTATGTTATGTATTTTATTCTCTTATATATTACACATTATTGATATAATGTGTTATATTAATATTATATATTAGATTTATTAATAAACACATAGTTACAACTAATCTTATAAATTATTACATCCCTACTCATATAAATATAATAGACTCATAGCAAATAGTAAGAGAAATAACATATGTAAAAGAACATACTTGCTGAAATGAGATCTTAATCTTCCTGACCAGAGCGCCATGTACACAGTTTTTTTCAGAAAGCTGTAACAAAACCTTATCTTTCCCTATAGAACTGACTTTTAGCCAGGGCATTAAGTCACTGGGGAATCTCTAGTTCGAAACCTAGCAGTATGCAAAAGAGTAGGAACTGTTTTCCAGAAGTGGAATTACCCACATACTGCCCTGTAACAACAGAAAGCAGATACTTTATTAAGAGAATCAAACAGCTCTGCTAGAGAGAGAGTCCACGTATTACAGCTGGTATCATTTTCCTCATTGTGTTCACCTTTTGAATTGACCTTCCAAAGATTAATTTATTTACCCCTTCATAAAGTATATAACTCTCCAGACCTGCACTAGCCTTTCTCTTCATTTCACCAAAATCATACATTCCACAGAGATGTGTAGGGACCCTGTTGTGTCCTAACCCTACTCAAGGCTCTGGGGATGCATGAGTGAACAAAGTACAAAAGTCCCTCCCTCATGGAGATGACCAACGATGAACTAGATACTGGTCAGATGATATATTATATCTGATGATTAAAAAATGCTGGGCGGCTCACTCGGTTAAAAGTCCAACTCTTGATCTCAGCTCAGGTCGTGATCTCAGCATCCTGAGTTCAAGCCCCGCATGGGGCTCCATGCCATGTGTGGAACCTACTTAAAAAAAAAAAAAATGCTGTGAAGGAAGATAAAGCAAGCAGAAGTGATAGGAGTGCC